CATCTGATTAGACGGATCACTCCCAGTACCCGAAGCTTGGATGGAGCGCTTGGAGGAGCGAGAGGTCCGCGAGCCCTTAGGTGGCGGATTATCTCTCACTGGAGCCCTCAGATCTGCCCGAGCGCCCGCTGCAGAGCAGGGGGCGACTGGGGTGGCTCGCTCTCTTACGAAAGCTAACCGCGATCTCAACTGCGCAACAGTCATGTCATCGCAGTGACAACATGAACCGCCCCCGAGCACCACATTAACATGCTGGACTCCCAAACATGTAATGCAGTGATCGTGCCCATCATCCGGAGCCAGGAAACCCCCGCAACCAGAAACGCACAGTCGGAGCGCCATCCTGAAAAGGACGTGCTGCACGACTGTGTTGCTCTTTTAGGATGCTTTGCAGCAATACGCACCGCTCTTGGAGGACCGGACCCAAATGGACGCCAGGCAAGGGAGAAACCCAGCTTGACCGTCTGCCGATGTGTTGACTCGCTCTGGACCGGGAGACACTCGTTCGCTCGAAGTGGCTGTAGATCAGCAGGAGGAACCCTCATGAACTCGATCAGAAAAGTCTCTGAAGCGAAAAGGATAGCGTCTGCTGGCGCCAGGTGTGCTTATATGCTCAGTTAATTGGCTATGCAACACACCTGCGCAGGCTTGCGCTGCCAATTCATTCTTAATTGGCCCGTTCAATACTCTTTCAGACGAGCGGCTTCTGAACCGAATCCTCCCATACGTGGATTAGTAAATCAATCCACTTATAGTGCTGGAGTTCCCCCCGAAGGGGAACTACTTTCTGCTACTTTTCCAAATGATCAACTAGAAGCCAAGTTATTACTTGATGCTCTTACAACTGAAATCGATGACAATTCTTTTGTCAGGAAGTATATTTGAATTAATTTGATGCAAATTATTCAATCTTCACTTATAAGATGATGATCACATTTTTGTCTTTTTGTGACAAATGTCAAACCTTAAAACAAAAGATGCAAGTGCAATGCAAAACATCAAGGTACAAAAATGAGTACAATCCACTGAATATGATAGGAAAAAAACATTAAATCAAATTTTAATAAAGAAGCAAAATCAAGAGAACAGTAATTCTGTAAAATGTAAATTCACATTTAAATGATTTATCTTTTTGTTCCTAAATATGTTAGGTGACCACACTCTTATTTTAATTAATTGTTTAATAAAATTAGCTTTGGTTAAATGCACCAACTTATATTGTCTAGGTTCACTGAAAAATTGGTAAAAATATATTAATTTTCACATAAAAATGTTGTGATGGTGGCATTTGTGGGGGTTTGACCTCATGCCAAGGATTCAGCTCATAAATATTACTGTGCAGACACTTGCTCCAAATAATGTCATCAGCACAAAAAACAAAGGCTATACATCTTTTTTTTTAACAGTCCCTGTTTTGTTTGTTGCACTCATTTTTTTTTTATGGTGTCTTGTGAGTGACAGTGTTGTAAAGATGCTATGCTCACTTCAAATAAGTGGTAAGCCTTTAAAATTATGGTCTATTACTTAATGTTAGTTAATGTTCTTACCAAACACAAACAAATAATTAGTTAATTATGTAATAATACATTTACTACTGTATTTATTCAGCTTGTTGACGTTATTTAAGTTAAGGTTAGTTTCATGTTAGTTTATGTTATCTCACAGTGCAAAAACAAATTTTAACAAGAACAACTCTGGATGTTATTAATGCAATATTAAATGTTGAACTATGATTAATAAATGCTTTACAAAAGTATTCACACTTTGTTATCGTTAGTATCTGCGTCTTTTATTTCAAAAACACAGAAAAGCATCTGTGCGAACCATCCTTTATTCTGCTTCACATCAAGGGTTTTAGAACGTCTATTAATCTTGGAAATGTTCCCAAGAACACACATCTTTAGTTGGCGCACAGCTTCTGTAAAATAGGTTTTGTTGATTTTTTTGTTTTACTATTGTAAATGAAGACAGAGAGAGAGAAAGGAAATAGGTTCACAAACATTGAGTCATATCCAACAGGTCACAACATGCTGACAGAAAATCTAGAGGAACGGGGGACAGAGAGAGGAACATAGAAAAAGAATAATGTTGGTGTAGTGAATGCTAACTACAGCATTTACAGTATGCACAGCACAGTTTATAGAGTAAGTCATTAGAATCAATTATTCATTGAACAATTTTCTTTAACAATTCAAACATATAAAATTTTTGTACAGTATATATATATATATATATATATATACACTATACAAAAATCATATATGTTTGAATTGTTAATTTGTTTATTTATTTATTTTTTGAAAATTAAATATTGATTCAAATATTGACTAACTACTACCCACTAATTAGTCCCAAACAAGAAAAAATCCATTGAATTGTTTTAGCTCATGGTCTCAAGTTAAAATTATAAATGTATATTCACCTAACATATTAAATTGTGCTTTGCCAGTTCATCAAAATGAAGTGAAATATTTGTTGGCAAACAAACCTTGAAGCAAAAAAAAGTGTGTGCGCATGCTTGTAAGTGAGACCAAGAGTAGTTGGTTTGGAAGGAGCAAAGTCAAATTTCAGTGGAGCAACGGTGGAAATCTGATGAAACATTATATTATGACGCTTTTTGAGTACTGAATTCTGTATTTATTAAATCATGTTTAAGTTAAACCAATGCCAAGTCTCAGTAATTTTGACATAAAAATGAACAGCAAGGGTATTAAGTTAGAATGACGCCACCAATATAACGTTGGACATTAATGTTACTCTGTGGCAGTAAAAATGAATTCACGCCTGTAATATTGACATTTTACTTATTGTTTTTGACCCTATCAAACGCTCCAGCCTTAAGTTACTATATATTGTTACTAGATTATTATTTTATGATGCAAGAGACACGTATGTGCTATAACATGTTTCTTTTTTTCTTTTGAGTGTAACTGTAATGTTTAGCCACCATATATATACATATATATATATATATATATATATATATATATATACAGTTGAAGTCAGAATTATTAGCCCCGCTCAATTATTAGCCCCTCTTTTTATTTTTTAAAATAGTTTTAGTAACTCATTTCTAATAATGGATTTTTTTTTTTTATCTTTGCCATGATGACAGTAAATAATATTTTACTAGATATTTTTCAAGAGACTTCTATACAGTTTAAACTGACATTTAAAGGTTTAACTAGGTTAATTAGGTTAACTAGGCAGGTTAGGGTAATTAGGCAAGTTATTGTATAACAGTGGTTTGTTCTGTAGATTATCGAAAAAAACTTAGTTTAAAGGGGCTAATAATTTTGTCCCTAAAATGGTGTTTAAAAAACTAAAAACTGCTTTTATTCTAGCTGAAATAAAACAAATAAGACTTTTTTGAGAAGAAAAAATATTATTAGACATACTGTGAAAAATTCCTCACTCTGTTAAACATAATTTAGGAAATATTTAAAAAAGAAGAAAAATTTTTTGAAGGGGGCTAATAATACAAACTTCAACTAAAACATATTTATTTAAAACAAATAAAATAAAATATAATATAAAAATAGCCTTGTGGTGTGTAGTCCCCCTGAATTATTAGCATCCCTGTTTCTTTTTCCCAAAATTTCTGTCTAACTGAGATTTTTTCTTCAGCACATTTCAAAGCACAATAGTTTTAATAACTGGCATGATAATGTTAATTATATTAAGTTAATAATAGTTAATAATATTTCCCTAAATATTTTTCAGGACACTATACAGCTTAAAGTGACATTTAATGGCTTAACTAGGTCAATTACTGTAGGTTAGCAGGTTAGGCTAATTAGGCAAGTTATTGTATTATCATGGTTTGTTCTGCAGACTATTGAAAAAATACACATAGCTTAAAGGGGCTAATAATTTTGACCTAAATTTGTTTAAAAAAAATAAACACTGCTTTTATTCTAGCTGAAATAAAACAAAAGAAAAAGAAAGTTTTTTTTTTCCAAAAGAAAAAAAAATATTAGACATACTGTGAAAATGTCCTTGCTCTGTTAAACATCATTTAGCAAATATTTAAAAAATGAAAAAAAAAATAAAATAAAATAAAATAAAAAAAAAATAATAATAATTAAAGGGGGGCTAATAATTCTGACTTCAACTGTATTTACACATCCCAGTGAAATGCATGCCAATCGGAAAGACTGACATTACAGCTTTTAGGTAATGCAGCACATCATCTCATCACAGCTCATCATCAGAATTCAAATTTTGGGAAGGATTGGATTATAAATGTATTTAGCAACCTGAGATAAGGCATTTAATTATTTTAGTTTGATGTGTATATTGTGAGATGTGCTGCTTATAACTATAATGAAGCAACAGACACATGAAGACAGCTGAAAGTAGGTTTACGGTAAATCTGCATTTATGCATTGTGTCACACTCACCCTTTACTGTGGTTCATCTTGAGTGAAAAGATGTCAGTAAACTCTGTACTGAAATATTCCTCATCTCTGTATTTCACCCATGAACCAAGCCACATACTATGCCCTTATCCGTGAACAACTGTGTATTCTTTGATTTCCCATTTGTTTATTAGGGCTGGAAAATATATGAGTAGTTTCTCAGTGTTTCTAGGTTTTCCAGGACATTGGGAAACCCTGACAGTGTTTATCCACTTGTCAAATTTTGATGTGTCTAAGCCCAAACCTCTATCCATTTAAAGTGAGAAAACCCCTAGCCATTTTACACATTAAAGTGAGTATTTTACAAAACCATGGCGTTAAACTACAATCTCTGAACATAACTGACACCAATATTTCAACAATTTCTAAAAGATGACTCCTTCTTTGTCCATCTGAGATTAGGCATTAATACACTGTAAACTTTACTGCCATGGTTTTCAATATACACACTTAAAGCATGTATTATTAATACCATTTGTTGTTCAATTTTGGCATCTTTTGACCTGGAAACTATGACGCCTGATGTCAGACTCAACAAGCGGATTACTGCATGTCCTGCTGTGTGCTTGTCTACTAGACCTCTGCTGCTGCAAAGTGCATCGGGCTTCTCTCAGGTCCTTGATCTCGCCTTCAGCCCATTCCAGTCTCCGGGTCGCTGCCTCCTCTTTCTGCTGCCACACCAACAGCTGCTCCTGCATGGACTGGCATCGCTGTTGAGATGACAACCAGCTCTCCTGCTTCTCCCTCAGGTCTCGGGACAACCTTCAGGGGCAACAGTGAACACAAGGATAGACTCATGACGCATGTAACCAATTACACCCACGTTAAAATGCTAGATATCTGCATGGACACAATATAAATAGCTTTGTTTTAGTGCTGTATAAATGCGCACTGCCTACGTTCACATCACATCCTACCATGCTGAAATAAACAGCATACAGTGTTTTGTGTCTGTTGCACTATATGTCAAATTGATTAAATGTAAATCAATTGTAGAAAACAGGTAAACACCAAGGATGCTTTAATATGTTGTTCATTTTATTATACTGCAAAGAGAAGTATTATAGCAGAACTCTAAAATGTATTTTGTATGTTAAAGCTCATCATCAGCAATTGCTTCTGCGGTCTCACTACTACTTTTGAATACTTTAGCTTCAACTTGATTTCTGCAAGAGTTCAATAGGATGTAACCACAACTCCCATGATTCCACACTCATCAAACTGTCCATGTTTGTTGTGAACATGCATCCTGAATAATGAATAATAATCATATATGGGGTTAAATGAAAATATTTTTATGAATGTTTTAATATCAAATAAATAAACAACGGTTCAAAAGCTTAGGGTAATGTTTTAATAAATGCATTTATTTGAACGTTTTTGTTATTTAGACACATATATATATGAAGAGCATGAATGTCATTTATTTCTGATGACAGCTGAATTTTCAAAATCAGCTATTAAACTTGTCACATGGTCCTTCAGAAATCATTACGTTGATTTGCTTCTTCAAAAACCTACTTATGGTTAATTATTGTTAATGATGCTGCTAAATATTTTGTGGAAACCAGTACTTTTCATTAGGGATGTCCAAATCCGATCATATGATTGAAAATTATCGCCAATCACATGGTTTCAGACTCAAACAGCAACGTGTGCAGCATGACATCACTTTGTTGCGGAGATGCTAATGTTTAAATGCCCCCAAATAGAACATGGAAACAGCTTGAAGCAGAAAGTTTGAGTATGTCTGTGCTCTGTCCAAAAGTAAAGAATTGATTGTTTAAGCTAACTCACAGAAGAGTTGTTGAATGTTACAATAAGGTGAGTTAAAAAAAAAGGAACATTCTGGATATGTTTCTTCGCTCATCTTTACTCTTTATTTATGTATTATAGAAGTATCGGATCGGGTTTCTGTATGGGTAGATACTCAAAGTCAAGTGGCTCGGACTTGAGCACAAAAAAACCTGATCATCCCTACCTTTCACTGTTCTTCGAAGAATAGAAAGTTCAAAAGTACATGAAAAATATATATCTTTTGTAAAATCGTTAATTAAAGCTGTAATTAGATTTTACAAAGCTGCAATTTGTAATTAAATAGCTGTAATTAAAAAGTACAATGCAGATTAGTCATGTGGCAATTCAGTTAATGACAAAGCCATTTTATGGAACATACATTTTTGTGAAATGTAGCTAATTACTTTGTAATTTTTCTTTCACTTCACCAAAAGTAGTTTCACTAAAAGCAGTAACTGAAGCATCTTTTGATGTTTCACTGTTAATATGATCAACTTCTTTAATCAAATCTGTTATATGAATGTTTGCTCTATTTTGATTGTATGGCATCCGATTGGATAGGTGGCGCTGTTGCAAAACAAGTCCAGACTTAGAACTGTGTCAACAATGAAACTGTAGCCTCAGGTATTGCAGGGTTTACATTTTGAATATGCCCACAGATAATGAAAGAAATATGAACACAGATAACGAAGAGATTCCTTTTTACATATAAAAAAAAACAGGGACTTCCTGGAGAAATGGTCACAATTCTACTTCTCTCCCTTTATCTCTCTTTATCTGTCCTCCGTTCCCTGTAGGACAATGTAGGAAATTTCCAAACACAGCGATCATCTTATCCCTAAGCCTCCAGCCTCCTCTCCCCCACACTGAGGAAGACACTTAAGGAAAAAGGGTGATAATGCCACAATTCCCACGAGGAACAGTTCAAACGGTTTCCTCTAAAAGACAGAAGATCTCTTCAGGCTCTTCTAAGAGGAACCAGGCAGAGAAAAACAAAAGGTGGTATAGCCTTAGATCCGAACTGCAGTCCTTAATTCAGACAAAAGATAAGCGCCGTCCCACAGGCACGCTCACATCTGTGGATTTTTTTTTTTCTCTCTCTTTCTTTTTTTTTTAACGGCTGAATCTCGTGGATAAAACATTTTTTCCCTAAAGTACACACTGGCTGCTTTGGAATGCCTAAACAATAAATGAAATGCTGAAGCTTAACATATGTTCACTATAAAGTTAAATACGAAATGAGAGCAATGTGGGAAGCACATGAGCTTCTCTGTGGGCGTTACGGAATAGAGGAGTCACTTTTCTACACTTTTTGTGTATGAAAGAGTAAGAACCGTGGATAAAGATGACAGGCTATGGATTTAAAATAGATTCGGTCTGATATCTGTCATCAAAATAAATCATTAGCGCCTGTGACATATGAGTCTACTTTGCAGATATCGTGGCTCCTTTGGGATGGTGAAAATTAAAGGAGCTTTGAAAATCGAGATGTGAAGTGTGTGTGTGTGTGTGTGTGTGTGTGTGTGTGTGTGTGTGTGTGTGTGTGTGTGTGTGTGTGTGTGTGTGTGTGTGTGTATGTGTGTGTAGCTCTGAAACCCGAAGCCCTATGAGTGGGAAGTGCTTCCATCTGCCATTTGCAGAGCTTCACACGCAGCTTAAGCCTTTTGACACATTACAGAATTTAATATCTATATAATATCACTTTGTCTGAACAGAGCTGTGATGCATGGAGAAGAGGGGGAGGGTACAATATCTCCAAATGCAGAATGTTATGCTCATATGTGCCATTTTTCTGAGCTAAAAAGTCACCTTTCTTTTATATCTGTCTGCTGTCCTTTACCCTTCTTTTGCAGTATGAAGCACTTTCTACAAATAACTTGCAAAGTGGAGCCAAAAACAATGAAAGGAGGTAATAAACCTTCAGGAAATTGAATATTAACTCCAGGAGATTAAACAATATATTGTATGAGCCGTAGACGGATTAACCATATGGGCAATTGGGCAAATGCCAAAGTTACATGTGGTGTAAAGGGGGGTACCATACAAAGTCTTTTATTTTGTTGATGTTTTTAGCTCTAGTTAAAGAAGAGTTACACCCAGAGATGTGTTTCTAGTTCAGATAGCAAAGTGCACACAATATATGGGCAGACTCACACACACACACACACACACACACACACACACACACACACACACACACACACACACACACACACACACACACACACACACACACACACACACACACAAACACACACACACACACTGTGTGAGCAGCCAATTTTTTTGTTTCATATAAACATAATGTTCATATTAAGAAACTGTCACCTTTTGTTGTGACCCATTCACCAAAATGAAAAAGTCCTGCTCATGGACATGATTTCCCTGTGGAGGATCAGCACTGCACTTTCCTTTTGAAGTTGGGGGCACACAAAACACTTCAGCTTGATTTTCAGTTTAAAGGGATTAGTTCACTCAAAAATGAAACTACCTCATCATTTATTCCCATATCCTGTGGTTTAAACCTTTATGATTGTCTTTCTTCTGTTGAACACACAAACAAAATAAAGATATTTTGAAAAGCTAATTATATCAAAATGAACAATGAGTTTACTACAATGAATTAATACATAAATCGATGGTTGCTGGTACCCATCGACTTCCATACCAGGAAAAAAATACCATGGAAGTCAATAGGTGCTTTTCCACTATCTGGCTGAAATGTTCTGTTTGCTAAACCATTCTATTGTGTGCCGACCCAGTCCAATCAAGATGTTTCATTTTGCACTGTGACGCTCATTGGATCAATTTGGAATGTATTAAAAATGCATAAGTTGTTGCCTTTGTAAGGTTAGTGTCATGCAAACAGTGGTATGGATGATGATTATATATATCTGTTGTAGCAACTCCTTTTTTTCAATATTTTTTGGTATAATAAATAAATAAATAAACAACTAAATAAATAAGTAAATGAATGAATGAATGAATGAATGAATGAATGAATACATACATACATACATACATACATACATACATACATAAATACATACATACATACATACATACATACATACATACATAAATAGACAAACCAACCAACAAACAAACAAACAAACAAATAAATAAATAAATAAATAAATAAATAAACAAACAACACTCTTCCGTATAGCTTGCTATGGAAAAACTGGCAGCCAGGGAACAATGTGGTGACACCATGCACACAAATGTTGCCAGTTCAGCACACTTGTCTAATTGTGCCCAGAATTCCGGGCAGACTCATTTAGAAACGCAACTGAAACTGTACACAACTGCTCTTAGAACGGTTATACAAAGTATTGATTCGGCACGATAGAAGAGGCTAATGGATGCCAGCTACCACTTTTGAGAATTTATTTTTTTGTGCTCAACAGAAGAAAAAAAGTTTTGAACAAGTAAAGGTAAATAATGCCAGAATAGTCATTATTTGGTAAACAATCCCTTTTAAGGAATTAAAAAAAACTATGTAGCAACTGAAAGAAAAAAGAAAAAAAAAAAACGTGTACTATAGACATAATAAGACATATATTTACTTTTATTTGAAGGGATTAAAAGAAAGTAAAAACATGTGTAAAATAGTAAATCAATACAAATGAGCTGAGGACTCAAGGACTATCTTCTTTTTATGGTTATACAGTTTGAACGGCTATGGTGTGGATTTTCCTGATGTCAGTTACCAATTCTGAAATACATAAGAGAGCTTTAAAAAGAAAGGTGGTTGGGGTTGCCTTGAATATCGGCATGTTGTAGGCATGTAGTCAAGATGTTCATGTTAATGTTTATTTAAAAAATATTATAATATAATCTAAAATAATATAATATAATATAATATAATATAATATAATATAATATAACATTTCTTAATTATGATGTGCAAAAAAGAGGTTGAAAAGAGGCAAAAGATGATTTATAACTATTCATAGTCTTTTTTTCAAATATTAAATGAAAATAAATAACCTTGTGGTTTATAAAAGGAGCTCTAATTTCCTTAACATGATTTATGATTGCACTGGGAAATGGTATTTTTGGAATTTGACAGTGTTTCTTCACATCCGAGGTCTCTTTGCCCTCAGTGGAAGCTTTAACATCTTTTCAGCCTTGTTTTATCAGCGTGTTGTCGTCGCTTCATCTCTCCTCAGACTGGTGAGCAATCGTGACAAACAGCACAAAACACAATCCAAACCACATGCAGGAAAGAGCATCAATCCACTGAGACACACGCAGTTGACTGGCAGACACTAGCAAACCCTGTCTCTGACACACACACACACACACACACACACACACACACACACACACACACACACACACCCCACTTCGACAAAGACATTGTCAAGTAAACGCACAATAGTTCATGGCTGTGCAGTTCAGTATGCCATGACATCAGTCAAAACAGACAAAATGTGACCAAAGAGGCCTGACATGTTTCTATTTATAACTTTTTTGTCCAAGTGTTTTTCTCCTACAGATACATTTTATTTATGAAGGTTTACTCTTTGTTGTATTTGCGATTCAAGTTTACCTTAGATTTGGTTTATATTTATTTATACAGTTAGGTCTATAAGTATTGGGACATCTACACAATTCTAACATTTTTGCGCTATATATCAACACAAAGATTTTGGAATGAAATAAGGGTATTTACATACAAAGCAGGTGAATGGCGTAGGAATAACAACAGTTTGCACCTCCCACTTGTTAACGGTCCAAAAGTATTGGGACAATTGTCTTCTCAGTGGTTCCATGGTCAGGTGTGTGTTATTCCAGCCTGATCTCACAAAGAAACGTAAGTATTTTACGTTTTGTCAGTTTAGTGGCTAACTCAGTCGTACGAAAATGTGCGATTTTAAAAAGGAGGCATGGCACCCAACCCCACCCCTAACCCCAACCATCATTGGGTGATGAGCAAATCATTCTAAATAGTACAAATTAAATTGTACAAATTCATACAAATTATCTAAATTAACTTTTAACTAAATCAAAAAGTTACAAATTGTCGTGTTGGTTATTCCCTCATTATCCCAATTATATAATGAGCAGATAAAAGGTCTAGAGTTCAGAGGGTTCACTCCAAGATGTAAACCATTGGTGAGCCTCGAAAACAAGTAGGCCAGATCAGAGTTTTAAAACAACCTTCACAGTACTGGAACAACATCCTGTAGACAGTTGAGACCAATATCAACTTATACCAGAGTGATGGGAAGAGAAGAGCAGAGAAGGAAACTAAATGCTCATGGTTTTGATCTGGCGTCTGGTGATGTCTATGCGTTCCAGACTTCAGGCTGTACTTGAATTTGCAACCAAGTATTAAAAACTTAAAGTTTGATTTATGAGTATTATTCTGTCCCATTACTTTTGGTCCCTTGACAAGTGGGAGGAGGCACATACGCAAACTGTTGTAATACCTATACTATTCACCTGATTTGATGTAAATACCCTCAAATTAAAGCTGACAATCTGTAGTTAAAGCACATATTTTTCATTTCATTTGAAATCTTGTGTTGTTGTATAGAGTCAAAAATGTTAGAATTTTGTCAATTGTGATGTAATGAATTTAAAGACTTTTTTGCAAAAGACCTCAAATGTGATGAAACACTGTCAAATTTCAAAAATACCATTTTCCAGTGCAAGCATAAATCATGTTTAAAGCATATCATTATCTGAATAACCACATATATAGGAAGTTAAAGCTCCATTTACACACCACAAGGCTATTTTTATTTTATGTTTTATTTAATTTGTTTTAAATGAATTTATATATATATATATATATATATATATATATATATATATATACACACAGTTGAAGTCTGTATTAATAGCCCCCTTCAAATTTTTTCCAAATTATGTTTAACAAAGCAAGGGAGTTTTCACAGTATGTCTGATAATATTTTTTTCTTCTGGAAAAAAGAATTATTTGTTTTATTTCAGCTAGAATAAAAGCAGTGTGAATTTTTTTAAAAACCATTTTAGGCACAAAATTATTAGCCCTTTTAAGCTTTTTTTTTTCTCTATAGTCTAAAGAACAAACCATCATTATAAAATAACTTGCCTAATTACCCTAACTCACCTAGTTACCTTAATTAAGCTAGTTAAACCTTTAAATGTCACTTTAAGCTGTATAGAAGTGTCTTGAAAAATATCTAGTTAAATATTATTTACTGTCATCATGGCAAAGATAAAATAAATCCATTATTAGAAATTAGTTATTTAAACTATTATGTTTAGAAACGTGTTGAAGAAATCTGCTCTCCATTGAAAAGAAATTGGGGAAAAAATAAACAAGTGGTCTAATAATTTAGGGGGGCTAATAAATCTGACTTCAACTGTGTGTATATATATATATATATATATATATATACATACACACATACATACATACATGCATGCATACATACATACATACATACATACGCACACGCACACACACACACACACACACACACACACACACACACACACACACACACACACACACACACACACACACACACACACACACACATACACACATATATATAAGTTGGAATAAACCTGTTTTGATCATATATTCAAAATATACTGTATGTATTATATATGTATGTTTTAATTATAAGTTACTTAACTAACCTTGAGTTAAACTTAACCTGTTTAAGCCTTTCAATTGCACTTGAAATTCAAGTAGCGGTAACACTGCATAATAACTACACACTATAAATAATTTATTAAGCGTTAGTAAATAGTGAATTCATTATCTGTTAAGCATTAACTTTACATTAATAAACATTAGTAAGCAATTTTTAACTGCAGCTACAAATGCTCTATTCTTGACTTACAAACATATTTAAAATGTGCTTAATAATTGTATTTTTATACTTTATTAATGATTTAATTTTCATTAAATCATTAATAAACTATTAAAATTAACGTTTATATGTGTTATTGTTTAGGCATATATTAATGGTTACTATGTTAGTTAATACATTTTTTATTAATTGAACTTCATTTAGTTTTGTGACTTAATCTAAAGTGAGGACTATTCATGCTTTATAAATCCCTTACAAATAAGGGACAAATAAAGGCTCAGTTAAATTCTAAACAGGAAAAATGACTTTATCATTCCTATTATTTAAAGATACACAAATGAAACTGTACTTCAAATAAAAAATAAATCTTTGCAACCTATCTAAAATAAAATAACAGTAGAGTTTAAACATTGCAATTTGGTAGATTGTTAAATTTTTATATTGTTGTTGTTTTATCCAGTTTTATGTTATATTTTGACACTTTGGCAATGTTTAAACTTTACAGTAATTTTACTGTTTTAGAAAAGATTGCAAGGATTATTGTTCATTTGAAACCAAGCTTTTAATTGTCATTTAAAAGGGATTTATAAAGCATTAATAGTCCTCACTTTAGATTAGGACACAAAACTGCATGAAGTTGAGTTAATAAAGCATTTATTAACATATTTGTTAACTATTAGTATATGCCTGAATAATTAGATATATAAATGTTGATTTTAATAGTTTATTAATCATTTACTAACTCATTCTGATGATCCTAAAAACCCTCAACTACTCTTAAATACATCTGGTTTATAAATATGCAATACTTAATTTAGTAATGAAAAATAAATCATTAACCAAGTATAAAAACACAATTATTAAGCACATTATATAGCTGATTATGTCACAAGTACAGCATTTGTAGTTGCAGTTATAAACTGCTTACTAACATTTATTACTCTACACTTAATGCTTAACAAATATTGAATTCACAGATGCTAATGCTCATAGTGTGTATTTAAATAATATGCAGTGTAATATATGCAAAGACATATCTTTGGAAAAAATGTATTGGTATGGTCTTATGAGATCTCCATTAATTTATTGATTAATCAGTTCATTCATTCATTTAATGAAATGTCTGCTTCTATTTGTATAAAATACAGTGTATAAATGTACATATTTCATACTGCAATTTCTATTTTTTTTAAGATTTTTGTTTTGGCAGATACCCTGGATATTTAAAAAACAATAGTGAGACTTTTTTTGTCTTTGTGCTTGTCTTATTTGTATTTTTCTAAGGTTGTACCTCTCTATGGCGTCTGTCTGTTCTCTCCACAACACTCGCAGATCCTCCTTCTCCACAGTCTTTATCCTAAAAGACAACAGAGATGTGTTTTTATTTAAAGCAGCGGCCGCTAACATCTGTTCTCTCTTTCCTCTTTTGACTGTGAGCACAAGAGATACCGACAAAAATTCCCCTTCCCCAAGAAAGTCACCCAAGCGTGTCCTTCTGGCATCCACTTTTAACACCAGCATCTCAGTGTGAGCAGCTAAACAACAGCGTGTAAACTAGAGGAGCCCAGGGCACGTCCATGTGTGAAGCTAGCAGGTACCATCCAGGGTTTAATGGGTGTTGAAATCTCACTGAGCGAGAGCGAGAAGGTGAAAAAAAGGGAAAGCAGGTGGAAAAGAGATGGAAACACAATCTGACATACAGCTGTTAAGTGTTACGCTTTCTTCTCTTTTGTCTGTAGTTTGAGAAATAATGTGAAACGTGGTTAGCGAGAACAGAAGTGACAACAGTTGATGTGGGAGTTTAATAAAACACAGAATGAAAGCAACATTGGCGCCAAGTGATATTATGTTATTATGATGAGCGCTGGTGATGAAATAATAATCACTGGATTTGGGGAAGTTTGTGGTTTCAATTAATGGAGAGATACTCAAATATTTGAAAGCCTCACATTTCTGCTAAAACTGAGGTATGACATGCACTAATATCCGTTCTGTTAATATTCTTCAGATTCATTTACTTTTGGTAACATTTTAAAACAAAGTCGTATTTGATAATATTACACTTTTAAAATGCTGGCTTGTTTTAACTCAATTTTGTGTTAAATATGGACTAACGCAACCACTGGGTTTAAATGTTCATCCACAAATGGAATAAAAAAGTACTGTGTTTTTACAGTGTAGTTAAGGGATTCAAAAAAAAATATTAAATTTTCTAATTATTTTTCAAATAATTTTATTTTTGTTAATCTTACTAAAATGTAATTGTTCAAGATATATTTATATTAAGGTGTAAAGTATGAGTTAAAGCTAAGTTAACCTATAGGTAACAGATAAAATCAACATAAGTTTATTTTGAAAACTTAGCCCTAGATACATCTCTGGAGATCGCAAATTATGAAGCCAGATGACGAAAAAACAACCACTTATTTCAATATGGACAGCTTTTCCGTGACAAGGTTCAAGTCTGCAAAACAGCCAAAAAATAAAACAAACAAGTAAATACCAGGATGAGAATGTGGTTACATTTGACACAGTAAAAATCAGGCTGCTCTGATTTTGTTTTTCTGGATTGCTTTTTTTAAAACACAATCTGTGCTTTTTAAAATACTATCAGTTGGGTTAAGTCAGTCAGTCAGTCAGTCAGTCAGTCAGTCAACAGGAGCCCCTGGTGGATTTAAGACATAAGAGCATTTACTACGAGACGAGACAGAGTTCACAAGAACGAGATGAGATTTTTACAAAATTTTTAAGAAATCTTCATATATGAAATATATGAATAGAAAATAGTTTTTTATTCAGCTGAAAAATAATCACAAATTGCAAAACTATTAGGTGCTATTTTTAAAATCAATTATTTTACTTCTATTTAAATAAATTCTATGTAGTAAAGCACATGAACACATTACAAAATATGTTTTTAATAGCATATGTGAAAACTAAAATATTTTAATAGCCTATGAAGTGTTTTTATATATAATTTTAAATATTGTGCGATGTTAATAGTTTGATTCAGGTCCTTCTGTACTGCTCTTCAATAATGCGGCAGCCGCTGAACTGGGTTGCCAGGTGTGTGGAAAGCACTTTATTTGCAGTTCAAATCCAATCCTGCCTCAGATCTTCAGTGCTAATTTCACCCTCTCACTCCATCATAACATCACACCTCACAAGACAACTTTTCATCTCAATGGGAAATCTCGTCATATTTTATTCTCGAGAGAACTTGTCATACAAAATCTTATCTGACCTCCAGCATTTACGATTGGCACTCACGAGAAAAATTTGAAATCTCAAAAAGCATACACAGCGGCCTCTGGAGGATTTGCGAAAACAAAACAGCAAAAAAACATACCTCCTGGGACATTTTTGGCACTTTCCAAAAATGTATAAGAGTATTTAATCAGAATGAGCCTGTGTTGTTTAAAACATGCTAAGAGCATTTGTTAATGATAACCAATTTAGTAAACTACTTTTAGAGAACTTACCTGTCAACCCTCCTGTTTTTCCCAGGATTCTCCCGTATTTCACAATTCTATACCGCTTTCATAACATAAAGGTATTTTCCTGTTTTTCTCCCATATTTTTAATCCTTCAATAAACAGCCAGTCCTCCCTATATGCAACCCATATCGCCAAACCACCAGGGGATGCCCCTTGCTCTTAAATGTGAAACTGTTCTGTGCTTTCATTTTATTTAGGCATGAAAACACTTTGAAATAAATATAAAACAGGAGCGATACGAGTGTCGTTGCCCCCCCACTGCAATCCTCTAAACAGTCAGTTCATGAAGCGGTGCTTAACTGTCAGCTGACATGCTGCATAGTAATAAATAGACCCAGTTTTCCAAATTGATTCTGTACAAGTGATTTGAAGCGAAGCGAAAGTCTGGGTTTTGAGTGCGTGTTTGAATGGTTTGAACAGAAAAATACACAAAATTAATAATAATATTACCTAAAGATGTCCATTTTGGTGTGTTTTCTTTCAAACACAGCTAATTTTGTCTTAAATGAGCATAAAAAGTTAGGAAAACAATCAAATGCTGTCATTATAATGTTAGATGTGTGCATTTTTAAAGTAACACCTCTGTTACTTAATGTAATCAAATGAAAAATCTAAATGAGAGATTTGTTTGTTGCTCTTTATTCAGAACGTTTAAGTTATACAGTGAAGAAAAGATTTATGAGATTTGATAGCTTGATTTTATTTCTTTATAATAGCTATTTATTTTAATTGTAATTTCAATTTAACTGTGTATTCCCAATGAAACTGCTCCAGATGAACATATTTAGTTATTTTAATATAATATTTATTTGGGGATATCCCTTATTTTCACATCCTAATGTTGACAGGTATGTTAGAAAAGAATGCTTATTATACAACATTATAATTATTCGGATTTCCCAGACATGCCGGAATAATCTGCAAAATGAACCAAACTTTGTGGCCGCGAGTCAAATGTTTGTTTAACCGAGACTATTAATATGCTAACAGGGGACTTTTGTGTGTCTGTGTGTATGAACGTGCTTTCGTTTAATGCCTGCCAGACTGTGTTTACATGTGTGTCTATCACTCAGTCAGTGTTTTATACTCATTAATTCATTATGACATTCTCAAACTCTCCAAGCTAGTCTAGCAGTTGTGTCACGTCGCATTTAAACATTTTATACACATGTACAGTTCACGCAAACCCACAGTCTCACTTATAATGTAATTTAGGCTTTTTGTCCTCTGCTCAAAAAAGTAGCACAAACAGAAAACTATATGTGTGTGTTGGTGTGTGATGGTTTCGGTGGTTTACAAGGATAGAAATTTGTATTATGACTAAGTATGACCAACATTATTAAGCTGGTTTGCTAAGAGATATCTCATAATTCAAACTGCTTAAAATGATACTTAACAGGGTGTTATTATATATTGCCTGTGAGGATTTGGTTTAGGGTGGGTTAGAGCCATATAATAAGCAGTTTTTACTATATAAAATGCATTACCCCTATATGGAGAGTCTTGTAAACTACCAAAATTAACGTGTGTTTGTGTGTGTGTTTAATTTAACCATTAGAAGTGTTTATTACAGGTTTTTACATTTAGATTACCTTTTAGTACAACAAACACTTATTTTAAGTTAACCATAAGCACATAATTATAATAAATACAAAATAAATTTAAAATAAATATAAAAAATAAATATAAAAATATACATACAATGCTTTTTAATGGTAGAGTAGTTTTAAAGTTGTCCATTTATTGTTTATTATTAATATGTTTCATAAAATGATAATTAATTTCTGGCTTATCAGCACTGGATAAGACTTATATTGCTATGTTAAATTTTGAATGTCAAAAGTGTGTCCTTATAAACCACATAAACATTGTCATACCTACGTCATACCCATTTCATTATAAAAATAAACGTGGTGAACCACATAAACAAGTACACACACTCACGCAACTCAACCCAGATAACTTCACACACTAACACAGGACTCCTCAGACAGACTCTCCCTCTGGCTCTCAGACTGACCTTCCTGTCGATCAGGACACAAGCACAAACCTTGCATGTCTGAGCACGACTGGTAATAAACGGGAAACTCAGCTCTCGTCTTTCTTCTTTTCTTGCTCTACGGCAGACGAGGCTCCCGAGGCCTAATGTTAAGCAGAGAAATCCCTGCATTGCTAAGTCGAATAACAATCAGTCTCTCGCCTTACGTCTCATTCTCCAATTTCTCCAATTCCCTCTCAAGGCCGAAACAGTATAGATTCCCCGCGGACGTCATCTGTCAACCGTTAAGACTTCTGCATCTCCACCCCACCCCCAAAGCCCACCCCAACTCACAAATATTTTTCTCCATCTCACGCCAATACTCCCCATCCTCTCCCGTCGGCTCCCAAAACACAAGTCTATAGGAGAAACAGGGGAGTTTGAGGGTCCCAAATGAGCTGTTGATGCTGGTTGGAGGATTGACGAGTGTCTAACGGAGGTTTGAAGATCTTTCTTCCTTTGTTTATTATGGTTGCCTGAAGGTTTCGCTGAGCTCTGTGACACACTGCTATCTGACAGCGGGTTAAGATAACCTTTTATTTCCCCTGGATCTCTGTGACACTAGAGATAAGAGCGAGGGGGAGAGGAAAAGGGAGAGAAAGAGAGAGAAAGCGATTATGAGATTAACGTGTTAAAGATGGACGTCTCTGTTTGGATGAAAACGTGATGGCTTGTCAGGTCAAGTGGACCTGAAAACAAGAACGCAGCTCTCTGTAACTTTCGCATGCTCAAGACATCAGACTTTCCCAAAGAATGGATTCGATTTGAAATAAAGAAATGATTGCTTTTGCTCATACTAGGCGTAACGGATTCAATAAAAAT